AACCCTAAAACCCTAAACCCTAGATAGGGCTCCCATCATGATCCGAACTGAAGCCAGCATGGATGCTGGAATTTCTACTCCCGGGTTACTCCAGCTTCTTACGACTCGTGTAGCTGTTCTTAGCCGCTGAGCTTCATAAGCACAAAAGAAAGTGTACACTTTCAGTTCTATAAGGGATCAGAGTATCCCAAAAATTTTAAAGTGTACTCATTCAGATACTATGTGGTTGTTATGGCAACCGGACTTTGCTGCTGCGTATGATGATGGCTCTGAATCATCTCCGCGGACCATTCTCTTCCTCGAGCAGGTGGGTGAGATTTCACCATTGCATGTCCCACTTTCTAGACCCCTGCGTCCTGGCCCTGACTGAGGTCAGGGACACCGTCCTGAGCCACGAGGCGCCATGACACGTTCGCTCTCTATTGATACGAATCTATTTGGTTGCTGGCTTTGCATGCTTGTTGGCATGCATGCTTGCTCGCGGTTGCTGCTGGCTCCCAGCATGGCGTGCCTCGTCGAAGAGGTCGTCGTTCCAATCTTCCTTGTTGGCGCGGTGTCGCCGTCAGTACGCTTGGCTCCCAGCCGCGGAGGTCCTCCTCGTGGTCGAAGTCCTGCTCGTTTCCGTGCTGGATTTCCTCCTTCTCGATCTGCGAGACTGCGCGAGCAGTGCCACCACAAGTGCTTTTACTGAGAAAAGACAGCTGGGGCACTGATGGGGCTGCTCGTTTACAACTTGCTTGTTTCGGTGCTTGCTCGTTTCGTGGCGTGCCTCGTCTGGGATGTGGTCGAAAAGCTCCTTGGTGGGGTGGGGGCACGTTCGGTGCGACTGCCGCTCCCCCCCTTCTAAAGGTCCTCCTCGATGTCGACGCACTTGTCCTCGCCGGCTTTCGTCTCATCCCCTGTGGGCTTTTCTGCCTGCGAAAGGAGTAGCCCCCTCTCGTGTGTCCGGCGACAGTGGCAGCACTTGCCTCGGGCACTTCGAAGAGCTCGTTGATAGAAGTTTCCCACTTCTTCGGCGCCTTTCAAGCGGTGCTTCGGTTCGCTAGCTGCAGCGGCTGGAGCGAGCAGTCGCATCGGCTCCTCGGCTTCAGGCTGAGCGCGCCATGCAGTCACTGACGCTCGCTATGTCGACTGTCCGAAAGCCAGCAGTTTCCACTTGGGACTGCGCCCACTTCGTGACGAAGTCACGCCGCTTCGCACCAGCATCTGCAAAGCAACAAGGAGACGGTTGAGTAGAGTCGGGTTACTCGGTGCGACACTCCTCGCCTCGGCGGGCTTTGCCGCGTGCTGCCCGCTCCGGGAAGGGACGTGGGCACAGCATGGATAGCAGCAGTCCTAACCCAGGTGCTTCTCGCATTGAGCAGCAAATCTCTCTCAAGGGCCGGCCTTTCTTACGGGCACGACTGTTGGCCGCGTTCTCCTGGTCGGCCGCCCTCTTGTCCCGGAGCTTTTGCGAAGCCTGTCAAGTCTCATTGCACACATGGCGGTGCGG